CGTGAGTGAGATTCCAATCGTGATTCACGCTCACTCACGAGTCCTTAAAAAATTTTCACGCTCACCCACGATCACGGCTCGTGAGCGTGCGTGAGCGTGAATCACGGGTTAACGTGACACGTTTTGGTACACTATTTCATATTAATGTATAATAACAAAATAAATAAATAATAATATATGAGTAAAAGTGCTATGTCTTAACCGTAATTGACACAATTATTTAATAAAAGTCATTTAAATTAATACATTCAAAATCTATTAATGAATATAAAAATATATAATTAATCATTTATTTATAACTATAACAAAATTTTAATAATTTGTTTACTGTTGATTCCAATTATTATTATATAGTAGTAATTTCGTATAAAATTAAGTATTATTAATTTAATAATTACAGTTACAATTTATGCTTAAAATAATATTGGTTTCACTTATTAACAAATCATTAGCAATTTAAATAATTGAAATTTCCGGGACATTGCAGTGTCTTTCATAATTTCTACAGGGACATATTGTGTAACATTTAATTTTCCCCGTGACACTCAATGGTACCTGCGAAAACCTCACCGGGACAAAATTTGCCAAACAGGGACTTGTCCCGGAAAAAAACGAGTTGATCACACTACTCTATAGTCACATACCATTGCCATCTCAGTCAATACAATGTTATGCATAGCATATTTTTAAAAAGTTAATAACTCGTAAACTACAAGAGATATTTTAATCAATTTTTTTGCAAAAAAATACACAAAAGTATATGATAAATGAATCGGGATTTGAAAATGTTAGCCATCCATAGCGATCACGTGGCTGAGACAAATTTTAAAATTGACCACAGCACCGGCAATCATGTCAAATTTTAGATATAGCCATTAGGATGAATTAAAATATGTCGTGCACGCATTTCATACATTTACTTATATTGTTTTTATTTTTAACTAATAGTTTACAAATGGTGCTATTTTCAAAAAATACATTTTCAGATTAATTAATGGTTTTTGTATAGTTTGCATATTATATGACTCATTTTTTGGTTGCTCTAATAAACATATAATATAATAATAATTAACAAAAATTATCACATTCGCGTCGGGATTTGTTAAGTTGCGTAAAAGTATTTTCCTATTAAATATAAAATCTCTATGAAACAACCAAACATACATCTGATTGCACTTTTAACAAATATAGTTACCGTATATCGTGTGTATTTTTCATTTATTTTTAAAATATTGACAATAAATTGTTAAATATAAACTGTAATCAACGCTATAAATTATATTTAATAATAATATTGTATAAGTTAAGATATATTAATTGGAGGGATTAAAGAGTACCATATATTATTTTTGATAGATGAAACTAACCGACCGATAGCCGGGACAATACTTTTGCCAACATCGACCAAATGAATGCGTATAATCATTATTGTTTAATATTACTTTGTATTTATTGCCGCATATCGTGTCAATGTGTGTTTCAACTTGAATAATAGTAATAACAATTTAGCATTAAATGTAAACTGTAATAAATAGTATAAATTAATTTTAATAGTAATTCAATTTAATTAAAATATCTTAATTGGAGATCGACGTAGAACGGGTATCATTTTTAATTGTTTGATAAATTTTTATCAAAATTTATATTTTTAAAGTTTATTTATTGATAAACAAATATTTTTTTTATAATGATTAATTTACATAAATTGCGGTTTACAATTAAAAAACTATTATGTAATTGAAGAGAACCAACATAAGTCAATTTGCCAATTGTCATTTTAAAAATGCATACCATGAATTGCCCAGTTATCCAATAAATATTGTTATATTATGAGTGATGTTTATTTATAAATACATTAAGTCATAATTACAGTTTTGAATATTAAATTATGTTTTGACGCTTACATTTTGGTTCATGTTATTAACAAATAGGTAATATTGTGTAACATATAAAATAATTTGAGATATAATATTAGCATGCTAAGTTCTCATATAAAATAATAATATGTTGGGTGATATTTCCTCTAAAGTTTAATAAATTATTTTAATTTGTGTTGTTTTTAATAAATTTAAATTAATAATTACAGTTTAATTTATTCAAATAACATTAAATTTTATTTAGTGTGTAGTAAAATGTAATTAATTGATTAAAATGAAAATAAACATTAATCAGTGTTATTTATGGAAACAATGCATGCAAATTAAATTTATGTTAAAATCCATTATGGATACTCATGATACAAGTAATATGAGGTTGGTTAAATAACTATGTTAATGGTAACACATATGATAAAACATTTAAAGTATTAAAATGTTATTTTTATGTTCACATATTTGCTGTACAATAATTCTAAAACAAATGAACTAAATGAAATTAATAAACAAATTATCAATATAAAAAATAAATCAGTTATTTGATTAAGCGTGATTTGTTTGTACTGGGTCATTACGTGGTCAAATTGTACCATGCCAAATAAATGACCGGCCATTATGTTTCCATAAAGTACATCATTGTTCCATTTGCTAATCAGTCCATTTGATTGCATGTGTTTTATGCTAGGTAAAAAATATATTTTAAAATAATTTGATTAGTAAAATTAATTAAATAAATTATGTGATTATAGCTCATTTTATTTGAGACCAAATAATGTATTTATCAGGCTTATAACTTAAGTATCATACGATTTTATTATTTAGTTACAGTTGTAAAATCACATTAAAATTAAATAATAATTTAATAACCTGTTACATTACTTACAATCCATTAAACGTATCTAACCATGGTCCTTTAACATGAGCCGATGCTAGCATAAAGTATGGCTCAGGTTCACCACCATATCTAGATACATGTATCTTGGTCAAAAACTTTGGATCAGTAAATTGGATCAACTTATAAAAATGAACTAGATTCTCGATCAGTGTGAGCCTTTTAGTTACATATGCTGAATACCCTGTAGATAACTTGTGAGCAATTTCAATAAGATAAGTTTGATTTAAATAACCATAATAATTAAACGGTGTGATTCGTGATTTAAGATCAACCGCCATTTTGTTTTTCGACGTATATGCATATACAATTAATGAATCCAATTGTGGTACAATAATATTTACGTGCTTTGTAGCGTACAAATCTGACCATGAGTCAATTGTTTTATCAGGTACGTGTGTTATCATAAAGTCCAGTATAAAATTACGATAATTTATTGCAAATATAAATATCAGAATCAAATATATACCAATTAATAAACGTATATTATTACAGCGTGCAAATCTAAACGTGCTATGTGAAACGACACTAATTATCATGCGCAACATTTCAAATATTATAGTTAATCGGCCAATATGGTTGTTTTGATCATGATTAATAAACATGATTACTAGCAAATTGATCGTGGTAATGCATAACAGGCTAAGTAAAAAAGTGCTCATGTCCATTGCCGAGAAATACTTAAACATGGCTATTCCACCAGGGTATTTTCTATATGCGATATGACTAATAGCTTGGAAATCTATAAACCGAGTGATCGTGGTAAGAATTGTAGTGCTAGCATGAGTTAGATTATTTTGCTTAACGTAATTAACAATGGCCTGATAGGCACCGGCATCTATGGAGCCCACATACAGTTCAGGCAATTGCCGTTTGACTTCAGTCATGTTTGCCAATGGGTCTGTGATTTGAATTCTGGTGAAATTAAAATATTATTTATATGCTATGTTAATTAAATTTACTAGTTTTATTTAAATAATTATAATTTTGTAACTTTATTTAAATTTAAATATAATTATCATTTCCTATTAAATAAATAATCTTCATAGAATGCAATTGTACTTACTTGTTGTAGTTATGATGGTTAGCAAACAATTTGACTAAATTAACCATGTAACCACATAATATATAACATAAATGACCATTATTATTTATAGGGTAATATGTTAAAAATGGTTTGGATATAGTTGGAAAGATCTTTAAAACTTTATCATGATCAAGAACTGAATTTGTAATATTAATTGTAAAATTATTGCTAGATGAAAACTTTACACAATTAGTTGAACTCATTGTAAATGTAAAATAATTTTTAATTATTTTTAATATTAACTACTACACCAGAAAGGGCATATACTAAAATTGTTGTAATAAACATAAATTCTAGATACTTAAATATTTTAATCAATAATGTTATGCAACATAATTGCATTATTCAAGTATTTAGGTATAATTAAATTGTTTTTATGCATAAAGTCTTATAGTAATAACATTGTACTAATTGTATTATAATTGATAAGGATTAAACATATTTCATAGTAAATTAACAAAATATGCTATTTTTATATGCACATATTGATTAAATCATTAATTGTATTATTCAAGATATTATTGAAATAAATGTATATTTTGCCCAACAGTAATTATAATAATTAATAAACATATAAACAAAATTATAAATTAAATAGTTATAATTAATTTAAAAAATATTAAAAATAAATATATTAGTTAGGTAAAAATATTATACTATTATTACAATATTATTGATTACAAAATGCAAACAAAAAGTTAAAAACAAGTTATAAAAATTAAGTACATGTATGGGTAACCTTGGTACATAAATAATATATCTATCAATATACCAAACACGGCCTTGCAAATAATCATACTTGTAATATAAACAATTTTTTCAAACTAAAAATTAAGTATATTATACTAAATTTTGAAATCATAACAAGTTTAGTGCATTTAAAATAATACATAAAAGTCAAAGTGTAATATAAAGTTTAAATATTTATTTAATTGTCTAAATAATTAATTGATACAATAATGACTTTAATAATGAGAGTTAATATTATTTCATATTTAACAATAATTTATATGACGGGCATTATATGCGCTGATGTAAAAACCAGCTCCGGTATAGTGAGGGGTCAGACCATACGTGTGCTCAACAAATATGTGGACCAATATCTGGCCATCCCTTACGCCGAGGCACCGATCGGTGAGCGACGGTTTGCCAAACCTGTGCCCATTTCAACGCCCAAACGGGTAAATCTTTTATAATTATACTTTTTAATTATTATAAAACGAGCAATCTACTATTAAATTAATTGTTTTTATAATACTAATAATGTTTGCTTATAATGTGCAAACGGGGTACACAATAGTATGACCATAATGTAATAGTTAAATAGTAAGTTAGGTTAGGTACCGTTAGTTGAGCGACGGTTTGCCAAATCTGTTTGTTTCACCACATTCATACTTAATAGTAAATTATTATGTACCAAAAAATATTACATAACCATAATAGAAATAGTTAAATAATAATCTATTGACAAAAATACCAAAAACAAATTATATTATATTGCAAAACAACTAATTAAATAAAAATATGTTTTATATACAGTATACAAATATTTACCTTATTTAATAATAATTACTTAAATATAATAATGTTTTTATTTAATGATAAATAAATGGAAAACAACATAAATAAAATAATGTAAATTAATAAATAATTGAATAACTGTATATTGTATAATACTAATACTAATATTAGAATATTGTCTAAATATTAAACAATTGGAAACGTAGACCTACCCGTTATTTACTTTTTATGTTTTTATAACAATTATGGTTAAAAATGCCACAAATTTTGAAAAATGTATTAATGCCATTCCGGTCATTACCATCCAATGTTTAATACTAAACAAACAAGGCTTATAATATTTGTAAACATTTACTTAATAATTACAGTTGTTATTTCAATGACTGCAATTTCAATTACAATAATATTAATAAAATAAATAGTAATTAAATCAAGTATAATATTAATTAACATGTAACATATGACAATATGTTGAGCAGAATGTTATTATGTAGTTAATTTAATTTCATATTTATTATTAATTTACAATCATTTTAAATTATTATAAAATTAGCAATTTACTATTAAAAGTAATTGTTGTTACAATACACATAATGTTTGTTTATAATGTATAAATGAGATGGAAAAAATAGTAGGACCTTAATGTTATAATTAATTCAAAACGAAAAAACCCAAAGTTATTTATATTATATTGCAATACAACTTATTTAATAAAAATATATATTATGTACAGTATACAATTTTGATTTATATCAAATTATTTAATAATAATTACTCTAATACATTATTTAATAATAATGTTTTTGTTTAATGATAACTAAATGGAAAACAACATGAATAAAATAATGTAAGTTAATTAATTAACTCTTTAATAAAAATATTTTTAACTAGGAAATAATAGATGCGACCAAACCGGGTAATTCGTGTCAACAGCCACCTGTCCCACAATATGGTCACTTTTTCAGCGGACTGAATATGAACGAGGACTGTTTAGTGTTAAACATATGGGCACCATACAGGCAACAGCAAACCGAGAATGAGCATGATAAAACATTAAAGCCGGTAATGTTTTGGATTCATGGTGGTGGACTGAGTATTGGCTCAATATTTCAGCCCCTATACAATGGCAGCGTATTGGCCACCAACGATGTAATAGTGGTCGCTGTTAATTATCGCCTAGGTCCGTTTGGATTTTTATACGCCG